AGAAAACGCGTCGATGTATTTTCCACGAACGCTCGATTGCTTATCAATTTGATTTCCTGTATCTATCATTTCATCTGTCGTGTTAATGCACAGTTACAGGCTTTCTTCTGGCTTCCTGGAACGCCGGAAAAATTCTCGCAAAACGATGATAAGCTCTCACGAACTCTTCTATTGGAAGTACTATCATTAAAACAATATTTTCACTTCTGAATGGTTGATAGTCTTTTTCCATTGCATTAAAAAATACTAGAAGAAGTTATGTCCGATTATTTCATCAAAAAACATGGGGTAAATATTTACAAAAAGGGAGTCACCTCCGATTTCGATGATTCTTCAGTATGTTGTCAAGGTCATCACCCTGAGCAGTATTGTCAAGGTTTCAGTTGGTGGTTGTCGTTTGTAAAAAAAGTTATTATAACAAAATTATATTTTTGTACTTTAGCAGTATTGATACGTAAAATGACCGATGACCTCGACCTTAATACATATTGTCAAGGTCACCCTTTTGAGTGACCTTCAAAAAATTCAGTCAGAAACCTCAGTCGCACTCCACGTGACCGCGGCAAAGGGGTTAAAATTCCACAGCCGCTACAAAAAAATTCCGGCGCATCGTTACGTCATCTCGGAATTCCGGATGCCTCTGTTGCACGCACACCACCTTCCCTCGAGGTCCCATCTTTCCTTGATGCTCGGGCCCTCACCCAGTTCCTTTTTTTTTTTTTGTAACGGGGGGGGAAAACCTTGAAAAGTTGCACCGCCTCCGCTGGGGGGCGGAGTACGGCCAGTACGTGATTTCACCACGCTAAAAACCACCCGTTGATCCTCGGGCATAGGGCTGGTAACTCACCCAGTTTCCCTCGGCCAAGGTAGTCACGAAACACGCCTGCTCGCCTTTAGCATATACATATATATGTCCATACAACCAAGATCTCGGTATCGAAAGGTTATTCAACCCGAGCCGAGTCGAGTCGAGCGGCAGGGATCTCGTTCGTATCCGACGGAGTAACGGGTTCCCGATGACTCGTGCACATGAGGCGCCTCTCCTCCACCTTCTTGGTGGATTACCTGCGACGATAGGCCCCGACGGTGTGCACACGCGGCGGCGACGGCCAGCCTTCTCCGTCCGGTCGTGTCTCCTCGAGAGGATTCAGTCAGCCGTGCACCATTGTCGAAAGATCGTACCACCTGGACGTCAGACTCGCGGGCCACTGTTTTCCCGTTCCTACCATACAGTTCGTCGTCGTGACTCAAAGTCGATCGATCAACTCGCGAGATCATCGTTCCTTCGGCTTTATCGATATTCGATATTTTCGCGGCACTTGTGCACTTCCGGTTGGTATAGACTTCGTCGGTTTACGGTTATTTATTTCTTGGTACCAAGGCCATTCCGTACGGTTTCTCATTTAGGTTTTGTGTGTGTGTGTGTGTGTGTTTTTTTTTTTGTTTAATCACTCGTGTGCGTTCGGTGGTTAGATGCGGGTTCGACGCGTGCTCTGAGTTCTCGATTCAGGTAAGGACATTTTTTTCTATGTGCACGCTAATGGCGTTTTCGCTTAGGTGTACGGTCTCTTGAGATCATTGAACGTGGTGATAAGATCGTGATTGAGTTCTCCATACGGTCCTTTTATTCAGGCTTGTTTTGAAAGTTCGTGGAAAAAAACGCGGGTAGAAAGTTATCGATTGACTGGTCGATGGATCGTTGCGACGTTTCTGATCGTATGGAAATTGTTTTTATCAGGTACCCCTTTCGTACATATTACTGTCCACTTTGTTGTGTTCTTCTAATGCAGAGTCTCGTCAGAAAGTCGATCACCATGCTTTGTCCTTCTTGACGCTCTATTGTCATGCGTAATAAAATTAGGGCCATCCATAATTTAAACAATTTTTCGCGGTAAACATAGAATTAAAAGACCGGAACGTAATTTAATAATCATTTTAATTAACTACTAAAGTATGTACATATATGTATATTATATACATATTAATAATTTATATATTATTGTATGTAATGTCTTATAATTTTTACTTTCGCGGGTTTATTGTCCAGGCAACTCTCCCGACATAAATCCCATTGAAAACGTCTGGAGCTTACTTAATACACCACAATAGATGATTACAAAGAAATTCTGAATATTTGGCAAAATCATCCCAAAATAATGGATACTCTAAAAATAAGCAAAATAAAAGCAAAGGGAGGAAACACAATTTATTAACATGTATGTAATATATATGTACGTACTTTAGTAGTTAATAAAAATGATCATTAAAATATCTTCTGACCTCTTAATTCTACGATTACCGTGAACCATTTAGAAAATTATGAGTGGCCCCAATTTTTTGGCCATGGACTGCATTTGTCTACCAACGACGCAAATTGCTTACGCATGACAAATCACAGTAGTGGCCTCCAACGTAGACGATGGTCCAAATTCGGCAACTGTTCCCCCATCATTTTTTCGTCTTCATCATCATCGACGTTGAAAGAAGGAGTTGCCCTCCACCCCAACCAAAAAACCACCGTCAAACCACCTGGAACATCCAGGAACCTCGAAAACGTCCCGACCTCCAAGACCAACGAGCCAAAACGACGGATAAGTCCCTCTATACCGTGAAAATGGTCCGAGAAAACAGCGTGACGGAATACATCATTGTACCAGCGATCCTTCAAATGACACCGTCATTTGCGACACATATTAAATATCCTAACGGTAAACCAGAGGGGCTAGGAACGATACACCGGCGTATCGGAATTGTACAATGCGCACAATGTCTTCTGACACGCTGTCTTCGACCCAATGGCACCAAAAGTGCGTACACTATCGCCCAGAAGTATCCCTAACATTTATACGATGATGGAAATCTATGAATATATTCTACAAATGTTTATAAATATATTCTACAAATGTTTCTAAAACAAAAAGGCATGTCGATAAGATGATTCAGGAATTTGAATAAAATTAATTTCCGTTTAACTGTGCAAGAGATCGCGAGCTCGAGACGGTATTCCTGTCAAATTAGCCAAATAAGGCTGTTTCATTTGGTAAATAGGCAGCGATAGCAATGATTTTATTTACTGAAAAAATTTTTTTTCTTCTTATTGTTAACATATACATAATCTGTTACACGTTTAATCCTAACCTACGCTAAATTATCCATTATTTATCATATCTTCGTTCTACGAAAATCCCTGCCATTTTGTTTGGCTTATCTTTCATTTTGTTTTCCATAGATTTTACGTCTACTTGTAGGTACTCTATTATCACAGAGTAATGTCCACATTATCTGTACACTTATGTGTACACTTTATTGGACGTCAATATCCGACAGGAAATTATATATTTTATAAAAACCTGCTTCTGGACATTTATTTACTGAAAAGTAGGGAACATTCTAATGTCGACAATGTACTATCTCCGGACATTTATGGATGGTAGTGTATGTACGTGCATCAAAGAGAGACAGAGAAAGGCAGACGCGCTTCCACATGCAAACCAGGGTCTACGAAGACCGATATACCCGTTGGGTACCGTTACTGGACACGAATATCAACGAAAAGGAAAAAACGCAACGGTACAAAGAAACCGAGGGGGGAAAGAGAATCGACGACGACGGTTTTTACGTACATGTTCGATGAAGAACGAACGGATCCTCGGGGTACACGTGGGCGGACGTCGATTAATACGAGAGAAAATGTGCCCAGTTCCTCGACGTTTCTTTTCTCGCCGGGCTGGAATGATGCTTGGCGGTCAAGGTCCATCGTTAACCTTGAGGATGGAACTTGGTTCTTCGGTGCATTCAGAGCACGATTATTATTCGACGATATCCGTTTGTGGTAATGGGTATTTTTTATGGGGGGCCAAATTCCTTGGTTCGGTGGAGGATATGGTCGATCCGATGTATAGGGTGTTAATAAATAGATGGGACATTTTGACAGGATCGATTTTATATGAAAAATTAGGGTAAAAATCAAGAATGACATTTTCTCCTTTCAGAGATATTAACCCTCTAATGGTAAGGTCTATGTTGTATCCGACTCAAGTTATAGTTCCTCTTGTACTGCCCCCAATCTATTATTACTTTTTTTTAATTATTCTCGTTTTAAAATATTTTTTATTATTTAGTATTCGTTTAATACTGATATTATTATATGTTATATAACTCAATTATCAATCCTTATTATATAAATAAGCAAAAACACAAGTTCCAAATAAGTGTCCCGTATTTTTTCATTAACATCCTGTACATTCGAAGGTTCGATTTTAATCCCGTCTTCCTGGACGTTGCAAATTGCTCGAGACGGGACACCAAAACGATAGTAAATTCTCTCGTTTCTATGCCAACAGCGTCGACGACCGAGCAAACGACGCATGGGAATCGAATACGAACGATCGCTTCGAACGAGACCTTCGTGTCTCAATAATCGATGATAAAGAATTCGTGTCGTGTTGCATATCTGCAAAATCCTCGAATACCACCTGCGTGGAAGATTGCATCACTGGATCCGTCAATTATTGCGGAAGAATTTTCGAATGTGTATAATGACCCTGGGTTCGTTTTTGGAGATATATGGACCGAGTTTCCTTGCTCGATGCTCATAGATATTCCTTTCTTGTTTTGTCTGTCCACTAAGTTGATCTGAATCCTCGATGGAGATCAAGTACGGTGTAGTGGGTCAAGGAATATCACCTGTTTGCTCAATTTTTGGTCTTCCTTATTTCGGCGAACCTTCGTTTGCTACTGCTTTCCTTTTCTCGAGAAACATTTAATTTTAATTTTAATTTTATATTAATTTTATTTTAATGTTACTCTTACGGGTAAGAACGCCTTTTTAAAAATATTTTACAATATACGACGGACAAAGTCTTTTTAGAAAATAGCAGTAAAGCATAAATTTTAGTTTCATGCAGTAAAAATATGGAATTTCTAGTAGACAGTTGTTCAATCATCTCGAAGACGTTATTGTTCTGATTTATCTCGTAATTTTATGTTCCAGTGCAAAAATGCGGTCCAACCTGGTGAAGATCGTGGTGGTCCTGCTGTTGTGCCGATCGGGAGACGCCAGGCCGCAGAGAACCGGTAAGATTCGCGATTTCTCATGGGCGTAAAACGTGATATTCCACGTAGAAAAAAAAAACAAAGAAAAAAAACCGTCGATGGAGAGAGGACACGATCCTCGAGAAAACGGACGAGCTCGAAGGGAAGTATCGTCGCGGAAGCGGTTGCAATAGTGAAAAGGAAGAAGGCGTTTCCTCGAAGACAGGAGAACGGGACTGTATTTATTCAGTTGCAAATCGTCCGACGCGAATATGCTGTCGATTTCTGTGAAAGTTTCGATCCCGAGACCGACGACCGGCCCTCTAATCGACCGGTGCGCCTTTGCAATTCACGTCGATCATTCCCTGTCGAGCGTAGTGAAACACGGAAATCGTTGCAACAGTACAGGAACCGGGACGACCGTTTTAAGCCTTTTAGATCGTTGTTTTGGGGCGACTTGATTGCCTCTGGGTAAAGCAGAGTTGGGCGTTATTTTATTCGAATAATGAATGGTGAAAAGCAGCAGTATCTAAGTTCATTGACTTGACTTTTAAACAGTTAATAAGATTGAATAATTTCGTATCAAGCGTCTACTAATTCACGAAAAGGCACATTATATTATTATAAAAATTGGAATTTCCACGATAAATCGATGAAAAATGGCGCTGTGCTTTTTTAATCTTCTATTTCGTATTCGAAACTCTTCGTTTATAATGAATTTGACCGTCTCTGGTGTAGTGCTTTTTAAACTCTATTAGAATCTGTAAACAAGGCGCGTCACGAAGCAGTCTTCGCGATTTTTATTTTGGCATTTCTGAAACTTGGGCAGAAAAATGATGGGAATGAAATTTAGCCTTTCCCCCCCCCCCTTTCAAATAACTGTTTCCCGTCGATCGGTATTTCTTCACGTCAACAACCGTGGGGCTTGTGGGTATGTGTATGTGTGTGATTACACGAATCGATCCGCACAAGCAGATTGCACAGTAACGAAACCCGTGATTCGTACGACGATTTCCACGGAAATTTTCCGAGCGAACGATCCCGGGCTCGGTACTCCCCCATCTATTCCAGCTATGTACATTTTCAATGTTACAAAATTCAGCTTTCGTAACCACGGCGAGACTTTCTTTAGTTTTTCTTTCAACGAAAATTATTCCTGTCGTAATAGTTCTCATCAATTGTCGATCATGTTTCCGTCAATTGCGTAATTTTCTTGAACAACAGCCCGATTATGAACTACATCAGGAAATACGGAATTTATCGCATTATTATTGTATACAGGGTGTTCACGATTAGTTGTACCATCGTTTTTTTCGCGAACACCCTGTATATTCAATTAGCCAGGCTATTATTAGGGTATTAATAATTAAATAAATAAATTATTCGTCTCGTACCGTATGTGAATAATTGTGAAGATTGATTTTCTTCTGTTTTTCAGGGGAATCCACGCAACTGGAAGCGGCGAAATCGATCGTCGAGGAACGGAGTCCCGTTCAAACCGCCAGCGTCCCGTCGAACGTTCAAGATAGCAGGTACACCTGGAATTCCGGAAGTAGTAGAATTCCATACGTTAATTACTATCGCGATAATGTTAATAGTTTGTTCGGTGCCGAGGTAAGTGTCGAGGACGCGACGAAACCGCGATCCATCGTTCGTCGTTCGAATAGGAACCAATTCGGAAATTCGGTAAACAGGGTCTCGAGAATTCATTCGCGTAACTCCACTGTCGATATCGACAAAACCTTCGAAAGACCAGTCAGGATTAATCATCGAATGTCAAAGATATTCCAGGATACAAGTAGGAACGTAAATTTCCCTAGATCGAGAAACTTCTTTCAGCAGTCTAACGGTGGTTCAGGTGTCTCGAGTAATTTTAATTCTTCGACGATCGATCGATCTTCTAGTTCGAGGCTTCCGTATTTCGGGAATCCTTCGATGCTTTCGAGATATCCCAGTGACTATACGGTGTCCAGAAGGTCGGAGATCGGCTTGAATAATTCACAGAGAGGTCTGTCCTTGGACCAGAATCCGAAATTCTCGGATCGAAAGACAGCAGTTTCGGTCGGTTCGAATAGGAACCACGCGAAGGTCGTTGCTTCGAGTGAGTTCGATCACGTCGCGGCCATCAGGAGGATCACCAGCACGTTTGCCCGCCAGTCGGCTGTCCAATTGTCTTCGAAGAACAGCAACCAACTCGATTCTGACCTTAAATCGGTGATTCCTCTTCGTCCAAGTTTGAAGCATTCGAACAGAACCAAGCTTCGTCGACCAGCTTCCGGTCAGACGAAAAAAGGACAGAATAAGATCAATTCGAATAAGGTTCCGAACGATTCCTCGCAGATTCTTCACTGGAAGAACTGGCCGAACGGAGCCATTCAGACGGCGAACGACTATCAGAACTACGAGAAGTACACTTCGTTCGCGGAGGATCTGAAGCCGGAGGAAACCGTGAAGAGGCCGGTTACCTCGACGAATAACAGTACCGATCATCTGGCAAGCGTTTCGAGTCCCGATGTTCAAGAGATCGTTCATTGGTGGAAGATCCCAGCTTTCATGACCAATGGTAGTCACATTATAGAGAGTGACGAGGCGAATGATCCAGTTAGCGTTGTGTTCGATCCAATCTATCAGAATCTCGAGCCAAACAAACCGTTGAAGAAACCGAGTAATATACCGAGCTTCAGACCTGGTTCGTTCGTTCCTATCGATCCTCCGCCGATTTACACGACCGAGAAGATTCCCGGTTGGTCGGCGATCGTGTCCCTAAAGAACAAGACGAACATCAGTCCTCAAACTCAGATATCCCAGAACACAGTCGTTCATCTGATCAATACCGATCCGCGGAAGCCTAATAAAACGACGATTGTTGGGACTAAAGGACCTGGGAACACCGATAAACCGATTGTTCTTTCAGCACCCGATTCCCATCCTTCTGTTCTTTCGTCCAAGTTGACTTCTTCCACCACCGTGAAACCAGGTCCCAACGTTCACATAGGCTTCATTCCGTCCGAGAACATTAAAGTACCCGTTCAGCAAGACCCCCAGCCACCGATGGTGACCTACGACCAAAGATGCCCGACGATCCTGATAAATTCCTACACAAGGATCAACAATACCATACAGAGTAAAGAGGGTTGCACCGATCTGAACATCATCATCAATTCCCACGTGTTCAACACGAACACGTTCAAGTCCACACCGTCGCCCCTCGATCAGGCCGAGGTTCATCAGGCTTACGAAGAGGCTGACAAGTATATACCGGTTGAAACAGTTCCTGGATACCAGTCGAATTCACAGGAAAATTATTACAGTCCCCAGAAGGATCCACAGACGATTGGATCCCAAGAAAACGATCCTTCTAACGTGGAAGTGTTTCAGGGTACCGAGATCAATATATCTGGTAACGAAGCTTTTCCTCCAAGCTCTTCGGAGGAGATCGATCAGTTCTCCGACGATCCAACTCCCGTTGAAGATTCTCCAATCGCGGACGAAGCCAATCAGGCAAGCAACGATCCGAATTATAATTCTGTCGTTCGACCTGTAGCTGACGCAGCTGACCCCTCAGCTGCTGGCCAAGATTCTAGTTCCTCTTCACCCTCGTCAGGGCTGGTGACAACCTCTTCCCCAGCGTCAGCCTCGTCCTATAACGATGACGACGATGACGACGACTTTGATTTGTCTCCGATCGGTATCATGGAGTCAATTGCATCTGTGTTTGCTTATTTCACGTTCGTCAATCCGTTGCACTATGGGTTCTTCAGCGTAGCTGCTGCTCCCTTCACTGCTCTGGCGGCTGGTGTCCTCGGTATGGCCACTGTCGCCTTCCCCTGGCTGTTCCCCAGCACGTTCGGTTACAGTAGAGCCAATGACGAGGCGGTCAGTTTTTGGCCCAGCGTCGAGGATGTGATTAGACAGTCCATGGAGAAGTACGGCAGGTTGAACGAGTGGAAGAGCAGGAGGAAGAAGCGAAAAAGATGAGGAGATGGGGGGGGGGGATCGATCGATTAGGTTCCTCTTTTTGGATGAGTAGGATGATTGTTGGTTAGTGGGTGACATCCGAAGAGATTGGTGACGTGAAAGGAAAGACAAGGGTTAGGCAGAAAGTTTGTATAGAATTCTTGCGTGTCTGTATGTTTGTTTAGTTTATGAAAAGATAAGATGCTGGAAGATTAGGGGATGAATTCTGGTTGAACGTAAATAGGCCTCATGTTTTCTTTTCTATAGGTCAGAGATGGGCAAACTGATTATTTAGATACAAAATTTCGAATAACGAATAAAGGATAAAAAATACTTCTTTATGAATGAATCGACATTTGTCGAACAATTATTTAATCTTATTAACTGTGTATTATTCGAATAAAATTCTGCCCAACTCTGCTATAGGCCATATCGATAGTTGTGGGTCGCTCGTGTTTTGTTCGACATAATTTAATGGGCGAGGAATGGTGGAACTAACCGAGGCAGAGTGGGTAGGGGATACACCGTAACTTTTTGCAGCATGCTCTGGATGGCACTGGTGTACAGGAAATTTATTTATTTAGATGTTGCGTTTGGAAACCGTTAAATATTATTATTTCAGATTCTATGTATGTAGTTTGTATCTAAGGTTGATTTTAGAGACGGTAAGGGACACAGTTTTTAGGGAATAGAATCTTAACCTCGACGGAAGTAGTTTTAAATCTATACCAATTAGCGATTTTCTGGAAATGTTCTTTTTGTAGAAAGTAGATTAGAACCAAGAGGAAACAGTATTAGTGAACCTGCAGAAATCCACCGTTGTAACGTTATCTATAGAATTTTATTTAAATTATTCCAATCTTGTTTAACATAATCTTATGTCATTTTTAGGGCATTGCTAGCGTTTGTGCCAGTGAATATATGTAACTGAAATAAACCATTCGAACGGATAAATTTGTATTATTTCTTCATATAACCATGAAACTTGTAATTTTCATTAACGAATGTAGTTGATTCGCTATTATCAGTATTCCCGTATTCCCATGTATCCCGTACCTCGTCCTCTAGATAAAAGAAATCCCATTTAAAGGTTCAGAAGATTTAGATTCCAAAGCAGTTTTTATCCAAGTAAATAAATGAATAAGCAAAGAGATTTTTCTTGTGCCTTCACAGACACGAAAAGGTAAGGAACACTTGACACATAACGAACTCAAGTTGCCCAAGCAGCAAATTCTTTTTGCGCCCTCAAATTTCGAAATTTACATTTTCCACGTTCCCGAGCTCACACTCTAATTCCGTCCACGTGATCGAGGAGAACTAATTGACAAATTTCGTTACAGTAACCAACAGAATGACAGCCAACGTCACATAAAGGACCTGCAGTACATGGACCAGTCCCTGAGGACAGTCGCTACTCAGCTGCTGAACGTGACCAGTCCCGAAGACGGCAAGATCGCTGACAGCATCGTCAAAAAGACGAACAACAATAAAAAATCACCCGAAAGGGACGATGTTCCGATGAAAGAGATGACAGTGACGAACGGTCACTTGGTGAACGTAGGATTCGGCAGGCCAATAAACTCGAAGTTCAGCTTCTTCGAGACCAGCCATCCTGGACAGGCCATGGCGATAACCGAAGAGGAGCTAGAGAAAGAGATAAGCTCGACCCGTCTGATGACCGCTCACAAGAATCATCCAACGACCACCGGCGGCATTTCCACGTGGATCCTTCTGAATCCTCCGTCGACCACCATAAAAACCATCGAAGTGGACAAAAGGACGAAACAACCGTCGGAGAACGAAGTGATGGTGACTGTGAAACCAACGACTCTTATGGAGAGGATAGATACGACTGAAAGGATGATGGAAAAGGTGACCTTGCCTGTTTCCACCACGGTGATCGTGGAAGAGCCTTCAACCACCAGGAAGATTGTTCTTCTGACCACGAAGAGGACTGATTTCAAGACATCCACCCCCGAGACGGTTCAAACAACTCTGAAGCCTGTTCAGACCACCAGCAAGTTGGAGAGCAAAGATGCGCCTGTCAGTACTACTAAAAAGGTTCTGGCTATTCGAACGACACCCAAACCTAAGACAGCCACGTCCAAAACCACGATACTGTCGAAACCGTTGGTCTCGAAGACTTCCAGGCCCAACCAGCAGGCCAGACCGAAGCCTCTGGTCAGGAGGACCACCGTCAAGCCGGATCTTGTAAAAAACGAGACTGCCTCGACGGCTAAGATCGAGAAGGTCACCTTCAGACCCGTCCAGATGATCACAGTCTCGAAGAGCAAGCCGGAGAACATCGAGAAACCGATGTTCGTGACGAAGATCAAAGCGTCCGTTTTGATGGACACCCAGAAGACCACCACGGCGCTGTCTGTCCCCTCCACGACCAATCAGGAACCAACGACCACCCTGAAGACTGTTTCGAGTACCAGTGAGCCGGTGGAAGCTACAACCAAGTTGAAACCCGTCACCACCAAGAACAATGTCCTGAAAGCGCAGCTGAAGAGGCCTCTGGACGAGCCCAAAATCGAGATACAACCTATCAAGGTCAACGCGCCTGTTCTGAAGATCGAGAAGATCGAGAAGGACGAGTCCAAGGAGGATCAAGAGAAGGATATTCTGAACGATTCCAGAATAGACCTGAAATTCGACTTCAATCCCGAATTGACGAAGATCAACGTGGATTCCGAGACGTCGACCTCGACGACACCGTCCTCCTCGACCACCAAGAGAACCAGGCAGACATCCAAGAGGAAGAAGAACAAAGGTCGACGAAGAAAACCGTCCACTTCGACCACCACGACCACAATCGCACCGACCAAGTCCAGTTCAACGGAGATGGAGCTGACGATGACAACGGAGCCAGTCCTCGAGAACGGTATCCAAGAATCGAAAATCGCGCCCGACACCAAGATCTCGGTGAACTCCACCAAGATAAAAAAGAAACAACCCCAGAAACCGATCGGCACGCAGATTTATAACTTCCTTAGCCGCGAAGTGATGCCCAGTTTCGGCGTGATGTCTCTGGTGGGACTCGGGCTGGGTCTGGCCTCTTACTTCCTGTATCCGTTCGGCGGAACGATCGCACGGAGGAACTACGAGATCGAGCCGAAGTACAAGTACAACTTGGACGAGTACGGTGGGAATTACGGGCAGAGCGAGGAAGAGGTGCTGTCCAAGGTTCTTCAGGGTATGACCACGAACGAGGAGAACAAATACCCCGGCGTGAAGGACTACGGCGGTTACTATCAGTATCAGCATTACGACACAGGTTACGAGCCTCAGACGACCAAGAAGTACCCATCGTCCCCTATGTACAGACCAGAGAACACTGCTTCCGTTCTGAAATACAGGAACACCGACTACGGGTATCCAGACACGTCCAGCACACCGAATTACTACGACAGATCCAAGCATACGGAGTACGTAGTTGGCCAGGGCTCGTCTGGTTCAGCTAATCGGCAGTTCGTCGTTGGAAACATCCCCAAAGAGTATCCTCCACCATACGAAGAGAAGAATCCCGAGTTATCCACCGCAGGAAGTCTACCCAGTAACTACGAGCCCACAGAAAGAGGCCAGGTGAAGTTCGAGCCCGACATAGGACAGATCAATTTCCCCGGTTCTGTCCAGAATTATGGACAGGTCCAGACAGCCAGACCCGAAGAGGGTTACGAGGAGGTCGAGATCACTCCTAGTGCAGTGGCTGTGGAGCACGGACCTAGGTCCCTGAAGACAAAACGCTCTGTCGACGATCATTCGAACGGTCCATCGCTGATCGAGAATCATCGATCACGAAGAAAACGTGATTCGGTGATTCAGATCATACCCACGAAGAGAGAACTAGAGGAGGACGAGAAGGAGGAGAACCTGAGCAACGAGATACTGAACATCATCGATTCTGCTCTACCTGGCGAGAAGGGGAACGAGTTGGAAGAGGACTACGAAGTTAAAAAGCGACGTCAGAAAGACGAGGATAGACTGAAGGAAGAGGATAGGCAGAAAGAGGAGGAGGAGAGAGAGAAAGTATCCACAACGAAGGGTCCAACTATCGAGACGTCTACAGCAGCCAGCGTCCAAGTGTACACTCAGGAATCGGTTTCCTCGACAAAAGAGGTCTCGACGATGTCCTCGTCCACCCACACAGAGGATGATTCCGATAGTAACGTCACGGAAGACTCAAAGACAACAGAGTCGAACGTCGAGTGGATCGATCTGTCCACGCAGAGTCCAACGGACCAGGACCAGGAAGGTTTCAATCTGTTCGGTTTCGTGAAGAAGATCGCAGAGATCAAGCTCAGGCTCGGGCTGACGTTGCTGAAACACGCGAGCGAGGGCTTCGCCAGATACCTCGGCCACGTGCAGAAGAGGATCAACGGCGAAGAGTGAAGGGCTCCCAACTCCTTCGAGGACCTCGAGTGACGCGATTCAGAGGTTTCCGTCTCGACAGCACGTATACCCTGTCTTCGAGCACGAATCGAACGATTAGAGACCACCTTTTGAATGCTTGCTAGACGCGACAATTGTGCGTTGCGTGTGGGTTGGGGCTGTTTTGTGCGGCTGGAAGGGTGGTTTCGATGCACACGGTGGATCATTTTAATTTTCGATGAATGACAGAGGTTGTTCTCGCGACTCGAATATCGTCATCTTTATCGCCATCTTTCCTTACATTGGCAACTAGCTTTTCGACGATTTTAACATTCGAATAGAGTACATACTCTGAAAATGGGAATACCCCAGATCCCATATATTCATGGGAATTTGTATAGTTACACGGGACTCTGGTGTTTGGCCCTTTGTAGTTTCTTCGGGTATGTTTTTGTATTACCAGAAAAAGATAGAAATACAGTAAATTATCGATGAGTGTTCAGACGCCATTCCCACCACCGGGGGGAGGCGGGCTGTGGAATCGGTCAAGCGACCAGTGGTGGGGATGACGAATAAACACTAAATGCCTAGGAACTTTCGAACACTCATCGACGATTTACTGTACATCTATTTTTGTGCGTTAGGTGATTTACCTTGTGCAGGATGACGTCTGTCCTCCATTTTGTGGCCGTCAAGGATGCCCGGTTTCGATTATTTTCAAATGTAAAGAAGAACAAAAATCGCAATTTGTTTATGTACGTGTCTTCTTAATGATTCACGAAATTTTTGCTGTTCGAACGATAACCGAAGACACTGTTTAAAGTCGAGCGATCGGACAAAAGAAAGCGAAAGGTTCCTCGACGTGAACGACAACGATTAGCTTTAAAACGAATATTAGGGAATAGGATTTCTCGCATGGAATGCAATTCGATCCAGCGCATGGGAGTGCATTCTACGCAAGCTTTTTCGTGTAACCAGGACGTCCGATCCAGGGTTTATTCGAGAAACTTCCGGCGAAAAGTTCTATTTTTATTGTTTTTTTTTTTCGACGCGGGTCCGCTGTCCCGACAATTGTTTCTCTTGTTCTGGTACGTATGTACGCCGTTTATTAAGTATTTAAGCGAACGACGTGATATACGACGAAACACTGTAAAGTATATTATAAATAAATAAATATATTATATAAAATAAATAAATAAATAAACTGTGCGTCTATATGATACCCTGACAACGTATATAAATACACAAAGTATATAACGGAACGAAAAGAAAAAAATAATCGCTTCCACGTTTGCTCCTGTCGATGACACACGATTGCGTTAGAATCATTCTTTAACAATTTGCTTCATAAACATACTAAGTAGACGTTAACCGTACACAGACGATTCATTTTTTTCGTCATAACCGAATTCCGTTTTCGGAACTTTCCGTTTTCGTTTGAATTACACATCAACCCCAATTCTCATACATTGCGTGCCATAACTATAAAACCATTCTAAAACTTTCGATCGTTATGTATTACGATTAAAATAAAAACAAACCATTTTTTCTTGAGGGAATATAATCTATATTCTCTTCTGGAGAAATATTATTTATCGACAGGATTTCAGACATGGCATACTCGGTTCGTTTTAATTTTAACCACAATATATAAGAATACAAAATTTTAGGGTGGATTTGCAGTTACGCCAACGCAGTGTATCAGCGATAAAATCGATATGGAATTTCATGTGTATCTCGCGTGCTTCCTTCAGATAACTTAATCGGGCCGTGATAAATTCTGTTGCAAGTTTCATAATCGTCGCCACATTTTGAGATCGTTTGTCCCCACCTCCCTTCTCGTTATTAGATATTTTCGCCTCCTGCGGTAATGTACATTCCCTGTCCCAGCTCCGGTCGATAGGCCCGTTTATTCGCAGAAACATGAGAATTCACGACTGAATAACGATGGTCGAGTGATGGTCTCGGTTCAGAAGGATTTAGATCCCTCCTTCGACGGCCAAGTATCATTGGTATCATCATTGCCATTGTTGCCGGTAATATCCCTACAGAAAAATACGTCACTGTGAATTCATTAATCGATGCACTTAAACCTACACAAGGCATCCACCCTATTTAATGTTCTGAGCCTTCCAACACCCATCGAAGATTTACTGTACCTACGGGGTAACATCTTTCGCGTGATCTCAAGGAATAGAAAAGAATTTTCAACGAATCCTTAGAACTTGTCTGAAAGTAACGCGAAGGTAGTAGAAATAAAATTGTCACTGACCTGCCCCGACTGCCGCCAGAACAGCGGAATTCGATGGCTGATTGCTAAGCGTGTTTCTGATGGGCCTCTTCTTTAATATCGCGGGAAACGTCTGTCTCTCCATCTCGTACTCCTTTCGGCTCTGGTCCACGCTCTTGAACGTTTTCTCCACCTCCAACAGACCACCGTGGGACGTTGTTGTGTTCGTGCCATTGATCGACGGCAACACCGTCAGCCTGACCTAGGAGAACGATATTTCATCAAGGGACCGCCAAGAAACTCACGGACCGTGTATCTAATCGCTGAACGGATATTTTGGCGAAAAAGCTCCTTGGGTCTGTCGATGGATTTCAAACGATATTTTCTACCAACGGAATTTCGTTTCTATTGTGATCGTAATTCTTGATCTTAAAAAGAAACACACATATTCCGTGTGATTTGAAAATGAATTACATTACCTTCTGTGTTCTCAAACAATCGATAGAAAAATGAAATAATTAAAAACGAAACTATAAACGAAGGATTCGCTGTAATTATACAGTATTTACAGGGTGAGTGTTTTTTATGAACTATAAACGTTTTCTGATACAATCAATAGGTAACGAGTTATTTTAGATACTAGTTCTTATTCACTCAACCTGCATGTTACGTATAGATTAGAATTCATAATCGTTAATTCATTCATTATTCTTCGTTATTCCTCTACTTTATACGACGTGACTCCCGTTTTCGTTTCGATGTAATTAATATAAGATCTACAAGTTACACGACTCGTGCAAATATCCGTCGTTGTGTTCTCCATCGATCGCAAAAGATCATGAAAAATCCCCGTGAATTTAAAACGAACGTGATTCGTAAGTAGCAGTTCCTGCCGTCTCTAATTCCAGACCACAAGCCTGTATAAAAATCGGCCTGACACTCATCGAAAGAACTACGTTACATTTTTCACCGATCAAAAATACACATCAGCTTCTTTGATCATCTAGCCTAACCTGTCTCTTCGAGGTCATCACAGCGATGGCTGGATCGTGTTCCTCCACTTTCCCACCGACGATCTTGGTTCCGTTCACCGACGTGGGCGAGTCGATCTTGATCGATCTCTGTCTGGACTTCGAGTAGCCACGGTTCGTCGACAACAGTACCCATTGACCGTCGCTGTTCCCCGGATAACTCTGAGGATGATTGTTCACGTATTGGTACTGAGAGAAGCCAGGACTTTCGGTGGTCGGTCGCGGACGATCCTCGTATCGGTTCGGGAAATCGTGCCAATCGTTGTTGGTCTCCTCCGCGTGTGTTTTATCGGTGAATCGATCGAGAAACTGATAGGTGGACTTTGTCGGCTGCTGCGGTGGCGGCCTGTTCCAATTGCTGGGAAAGTTCGCTGGACGATTGTCGGTGATTATGTCGCTGTTCGGACGATCGGTGTACTTGTTCCAGGATGGCCTCTCCGGTGGCCATTTTTGCGCCTGACTCTCCTCGTTTTTGTCCGAATAATAAGACGGTCGTGTGACTGGCTTCTGCCATGGCTTTTCGTTGCTGGTCTCTGGCCAAGTCGGTTTTGGCTTCTCTTGGTACCTGGAAGCGAACCGGAATCGCGATCGATGAAACGTTTAGAATGATGAAGATTCAACCTGACTTCCTATACAGGGTGTCCCAAAATAGGTTTAAGTCCTTGAAAGGGGTGATTTCTGGGGTGATTTACAACTATCTTGGGACCAGAGTTGGGCAGAATTTTATTCGAATAATAGACAGTGAAAAGCAGCAGTATCTAAGGGTGTTGTTCTGAGCTTTAAACGGTTAATGACATTAAATAATTGTTCGACAAAGTGTCTACTCATTCAAGAAGAAATATTATTTTATGATAAAAATTAGAATTACGAAATATTTCTTTCATCTTCTATTCATTATTCGAAACTTTTTATCTAGATAATGAATTTGCCCATCTCTGATAATATCTAGATGTTGGTTTGCAATGTCTCCTGTGGTCAGACGAATTAGAGAATGGAACCAAACTTTATGATCGATGGAACAGTAACTTATTATTCTGTTATGATTGTGAACAAACAACTGAGATTGTGACAATCAATTTACCACGGTTTATTGTTGTCGTAGATCGGTCTGACAGAGTAGTCGGCCGCCCAGGGTTTCCCTATACCGGGTTTCTCCCACGGTTTGATGTCCGGTATGGGACGCTGGGTGGTTTGAGTGGCTTGCCATTTGGAAATTTTACTCTTGGACCAAGGTATCGCCTCGAGAGTCACCCAGCCGTTTCTGTCCTCGTACGTGTTCGCCCCGTAGTACTTGTTTCTTTTCAGGGTGTCGTTCAAAGCCTCGCCCAACTGAACACGACATGTACATCGAGATATCAGAAGATCGATTCTCCGATCGATTTACAATATAACCCGCTCACTGCATCTTTTTTGGTATGTTGTGGAATAATATTTTTTTCATAAAATCAAGAACCAATATAACCTAAGACTATTTAGAAGATTGTTTCCTTTACAAACAATGTGTTTGCTCATGACAATTAACGAACTAATAGTCACAGTAACACCGTTTTACTAATGCTTGTTATTTAAAGAAGTGTTGGTACCACCGATCGTCAGGAAATGTTCCAGATATTCTCACTAAAGTGACAAAGTAGTCGTCCATTGTAGTGGACAAATGCAGTGAACGGGATAATTCCTACTGCAAAGTAGAAGTTACCGTTTCCTCGGTCGCGTTGGAGTTCGTCATATCCTCGTCGAATTTGGTCCCGTGATCGTAATTGACAGCGGTCGAGGACGTCGTGGTATCGTCCACCTCCAGACCCAAAGCCTCCGCTGGCTTCACGATCCTGACAGGGAACCTCGAATACTTCTCGGTGTTGCTCTTGATTTTATTCGCGTACTCCTCGAGAAACTTGTTCAAAACGTCCGGATTGAACGTGGACGCCTCGAACGTGTTCTTCGGCTCGTCCTCGACCTTGAAGTCCTTCGTTCTTCTCTCATCATTCGACCGAAAATCAGCTCTAGCTCGATGACGGAACGAGCTCGCCGTGGCTGCGATCGGCTCCTCGATGAACCTCGAAATATCGGACGCTCTCGTTCGGAACAGATCGGACGCGTTCGTCCTCACATTCATGAAGTATCTTGTGTCGCACTGGCCGCCCCCGTTCAGGGTCAAGGTCACCAGGACCAGGTAGATCGCTCCTCTCGGCAGCATCTGCAATTCGACGAGGAACGCGTGGAGACGACACGCTTGCACTTTCGAAACTCTCCGATTCCGATCTCGTGAATCTTTTCGGAGAAATTTCAGAATACTTTCGGGCTACTATAAAAAAACAGTCACATTAGCATTCGACAGTGAACTTTGAATACGGAGGAAAGAATGTTACTTTATTACCAGATGTTCGGAAGAATCTACAGTAAATGTTTGATAAGTGTTCGATGGCTCTTCGGCACTGAATATTAAATACTACATAAACTAATGGCCGTATGTAGCTGAAATAAATATTATTGACTTCCGAATTCCAAGCTCTATCACTGTGCTAAACATCATTGAAAAATCACCGTTACACCTGGGGACCTCTCTTGTCAGTGCCTAGGAACCTTCATCGAGGATTTACTGTATTCAGGGAAAACGAGAACATCCTAGATAGACTGTCTCGGAAAGGAGACCTCCATGAGGTCCTAGAATATTTTCCACGACCCACACTATATTTCCCGTGGATCGACGAAGGTGTCGACCAGTTTTCCAGAAGGGTAATAAAGCGAAAAAGGTGGATGAAAAAATAATTCACACCAGCACACTGACCGTGGTCCGTTGGCTCGACTTCCTGTTCTGGGCTCAGCGCCGGCGATCTGATCACGTGGACGAGCAGGATCGCCTCTCGATTCTGCCCAATCTACACAGGAAGTCCCGTTTCTCGATGAATCGCGACGACGACGAACGAGTTGTCGAGGGGCTCACCACGATGGATAGAAACACGAGAGGCTACGAGGTTTTCCGCTCGACCTCGACTCTTCAAGGTCCGAGATGGCTCTGTCGCGGAGACGTTGCCCTCGTTTCCTTTTAATCCAGATCCCCACTTCGTGGTGACTTGGTCCATTTTCTGTCTCTCTCTAGGCACCGTGGATGCACGGCCGGTCGACGCCGCGCGCGCGCTCCTAGTCACCTTGGAGAACGGACGCCTGGTCTACACACGACGAGACCATCCTTCTCTCCTATCTTCGCGATCTATTCTTTCCCCTTTACTTGGCTGTTCGATGATAATCGTTTCGACAGGCCAGATTCACGATTCGATGAGACAATCCCGACGTGGTTTCTGACCGCTCTCCCCCTCCCCCCCAGAGATTTAGATCGGAGGATTTGCCGTGCAAGATAAATAGAAGAGTATTATGCAAAGTGAAGAAAACGTACATTTATATCGTGAAAAGAAAACAAGGGGAACGTTGCTAATAAGAAGAATTGGTGTTGAAACTTTAAATGACAATATCTCGAAAGTGAAATCACGTGACATGCATCGTTTTCCTTGATAATCACCAGAAAATACTATTAATTATCTTGGAAGTTTTCGGTGAAGAGTCATATCGAGGCATCGATTTATCTGCGTTATATTTTAGCCGATAGATTACAGTAGGAATATCGTGAGAAAATTGACATACATCTGGATTACACAAAACTAACAAAATAAAGTTCTAATGATCTTCTTAACGTGACCGAAATTGCAAAATAAAGGATATCGAACGAATGGAAACACGGGTTTTTCGTTCTCACCCAATCCAACTCGGGCCGACTCGACGAGAGGTGCGAATCGTCGTGAAAAAGCCTGGGTGATCCGTCACGCACTAATTGCACCGCGGCGGTGGACAATCAACGCCTGCCTTACATGCTGGTTTTTCTGCTTATGATTTGGAATGTCAGTCATCGTCACCGTGGTCGTTCTTAATTCATCACGAACTTAACATTACTTCGGGATAGAAATCTGCCCAAACCCCACCCTTCAAATCACTAGCCAGGTAATTGCTTCTCCACGACAACGAAACTTTTGTGCTAGGTAAATCTCTCCATCGAATCATGAAGTCATCAGATTCTTCGTTGTCGGTTCTTAAATTGTTCGTTATATGAGAAAACGTTTCGGAGAAAAGTTTAGGGTGGGGGCTTACAATGTAATAATTAGTTTACTGTTATGTTGTTTTTTTTTTTTACGAAATACGGTCACCTTGAGTTTTTTTTTAAATATAATGTGTCATTTTTGACTCTACAATTCGAGAGATTATTACTCTACAATTCAGTCTGATCGAAGAATATCTCGATACCAGAACTAAGACCTGACACTAAGACCAGAAATAATATTTCTTTATTCTCCGGCTATGCTTAACTAAAACATGTTTATAAATATTAAAAACAATCAATTGGTACAACAACCTTTTTTACAGGGGAATTTTTTGACAGGCAAACCTTTCGAATTGCACGGTCAAATGTTACATTTAAAACTTTAAGGTGACCTTCGCATCTCGATAAATACGCAAAAATAACAGTAAACTAAATATTACATTGTAAGTCTCCCTTGTTAACGTGCAGCTTTTGTTTGAGACCATTCTTTCATACAATGAATAACAACAAGAAACCTGTGGCACGCCTATTTTTTTCTTCGTCTGGTAGCAAGCACCAACACACCGTCTCATAGATTCTTGCTCGTTCGCGAGTGAAACTAACGTTTCCGTTTTACGAGCAGTTTCCGACTAGCGTGGGCCCGGAGATTTTCACCTGATCCCTCATTTTTGCAACCTCGACCCACAAACCGACCGCGACCGTCTCGTCGTCGTCTCGTTCTTCCGTCATGGTAACCGATCGCGCTGAATTTTATCCGCGAAATTGGCTCGGTCTTCTTTCCAACGAACAGCGCGAACCTGTCGACGTTTTTTTTTGTTTTTCACAGGCAATTTCTCGACAGTCGAACAAGACCACTCGAAGGAGACGTTCAGCGACATAAATTCTTGTATAATCGGCGGATGTATTCTTTTAACCTCTTGCAACTCTTAATTGGCTCTGCGAGGGTGACATGTCTCGTAATATTGTTGCCCGAGTTCTTAATTGTTCTAACTCAATTTTGTCAAAAAATTTAGTTAATTCACGCGTGTCTTATTGGATCAAGGAATACAAATATGCTCGTAGTATAAAGAAAATTCAACCTAGAAAACGACAAATATTCTTTTAGGTCCTAACTCCGAAACGTTGAAAGTTTTTTTTTCCAAACACTAACGAGAATTAAAATTTTATGTTAATAATAAGATACGTAAATGTAACATGATAAGTGTGTTTGATTATTTCACTACTATAATATTAAACTTCGTAAACTTTAAACTCAGCTTTCTCGGTTTCGAAACCAGTGGCGATAGAACGATTAAGAACTAGAGCGCCGATATGTTAGTTTTCTTTATTAGAGTAGAAACTAAATTAACGAGTTAACTTTACCGTATGTATATAAACACATACCAAGTTTTAGTGGACAACGCAACCATTTATGCATTCCAAATTTGATACTCCAGATATTGTAGCGCGAAATGGATAATTGTTTGTAGAGAATTCAGAAGAATTTCTGATTTGTATAGAATATATATTTCCGTCGTAATTTCTCCTATTGGATAATTTTCGTTCAGACGTTCTTCAAGACCATTTCATCCAAATGTGAATCAGAAAATCGGTTGGGGGCAGATAACAGAGTTATGTCTCTGTGGATAGTTTTAACAAATCGTTCTTTTCGACTGTAATATCGAGTTCCTCGAGGACAAGAGGAGTCATAGGCCACACACGACTTCCGTTTTCGATGGTAGAGGCCAGCTAACCAGGATTTTTCTCTTCCGAATTGGGTCGTTCGAGGCGTAGATAACCGCGAATACGAGCACCAGGCTGCAAGACCGAAGAAGGAGAGGGGGAGAGAAAAAAGGGAACAGAAGAAACGAACACCGACGGCTGTCAAGCGCAGGGAACGTCTACTTTCATTGTCGGCTGACTTAAACGGAAGGGGAACACACGCAGGACGGGACTCTTCTCACGACGCT